CCATGACAAGCACACAGACGTTCCCCTGTAAAGACACGAAGAGAAGAACAAACCTTCATGTGTCCTCTGTCGAAAAACCAGCTGATGAACCTGACAACACACTTTGTTATTTTAATTCAGAAGAAACAGAGAACAGACAGAGCGTGAGAAGGAAATGAAAGACGTGATGGAACACAGACGTCGTGCACATGAGCCAGAAATATTACAGCCTGCGTCTGAGTTCAAAGCGGCAGCATACAGATGTGCAAGCACATCTGTGTCCAGTGTTGGAAAGTAACTTAAGCACAGGGGTTAAGTGCAATTTCACACAGCTTCTATTTGACTTAAGTATTTTCCTTTTCTGCATTTGCACACCTCTGATACAATGCTGTATCTTTCACTTTGCTGTATTTATTTAACAGGTAGACTTTCTGGCTACTTTTTAGATTTTACAGTTGATAAGATTGTAATAAACTGAACTATTCACAAGTGTCTTTGAGCTGTAGCTGTAGTAAAGTACTTTCTATCAACTTCAAAATTACACCTCGTCCCATGAACTTGGTGTTGTATTTGCAGGCTGGAAGTATGACAGTTAGGTTTTCCACTGCTTTTGCATTGTGCATCTGATGTCTGTGCTTCTTGGAATTTTTCTGCTGCAACTCAACAGCCTTTTTTTTCTTTCTTTCTTTCTTTCTTTCTTTCTTTTTTTTAAAGGATTGCAGAGAAAAGGAAAGAATGCTAAGACAAAACCATATTTTACATTTTATATGTGGGTGAAGGAAATACTTCAGTTGGAAAAACTAGAAACTTCAAGTTGACTTTCCTTAAAATTGAGATGCAGCAATGCAAACTGTTTATTTGCGAGAAATCAAATAATTTAAGTACATTTAACTTAAACCACTGGTGTTAATATTACCTGTTAACTTAATTTGAATAAACCTAATTTAATCATGTGTTATCAGCTAAAATAATTAATTTTAGTTGCTCCAACTATTGTGTTTTTCAGTGCAGTTGTGTATAAAACTGTTGAAAATAAGATTAAACTTGGTGGTGACAGAGATTATCATGCAAATTCTGTAAACTTCCACTACATTACATTTGTAAATGTGTTTTTTACTATATGCATTTTTCAACCAACCATAGTTTCTTTGTTTTGTAGGACTGTACATATAAATTTGAATTAAATGTGATTACTTTAATAAATCAGATACATTTTTAAATATTATTTTATATTATCTCCACTTTTACCAACTACAGCAGAGAGTCAATATTATATATTATAATATAATAACATTATGTTCTGGATCAGGACATTCTTCATCTAGACTACTACATGTTGCTGCTGCTGCTGCTTCTGTGTTTAAAATAAGTGAACATTTTGCATTTGACTTTTCAGTCACTGCACTAAAGTAGAGGATTTGAAAGTTTAAATCTGTCTATTATAAATCAATGACAGCACACTAATTACTATTCAGCTATGGCAGAGAAGAGGGCAGATTGTGAGTCAAAAAGTCTTGTATTCTGTTGAAGTAAAGATGTGAATAAAGCAGCTTTATTCTCTCCTGCTGCAACAGTTGGATCTGTGTGTTTGTAGTGAGAACAGAATGAACACAGTCCAATCTGACAAAAAAGCACAAATTTTTAAATCTTTGTTTTTTGCAGTCAAGGCTTGAGTGGGAAAAACAACAAGAGGAGGTGAAGGGACCCTGAGACATGCAAAGGGAAAAAAATCTGCAAAATTGCATCCATATGACAAAGTCTATGAATCATACTGAACAGTAATAGGCCTGTGAGTCAGTGTTGAGGTATTAAAAATGTTTTCGGGGAGTATGAATTTGGAGGCTGATGAAAGGCCCAGTGAAAATCAGTCAAACAATAACCTGACACAGCTTGTTAACATCTGGTGCAACACATCAACAACACTGAAACAACTGAGCCACAAACCAGCGTCCCTTCACCGTGATGAATATGGTCTGTGGTTCTGCTGAAATGACTACATTTTTAACTTTGCAAACCAACGCAGTGGAGGCAAAAGCAGGCTGCGAAGTGTTTTGTGAAAAATAAGCAAATGAGATGATACTCACGACTCGGAATGATGATGATGCTTCAACACTCAGCAGGAAGTCCTTCTCCAATGTAGTTTGAATACCAGATGTCTGTGCTTCTCTCGCCTCTCCACTCTATCACTGCCACAGTCCTTTTTCTACTTATTTCTACTTTGCTCGCTCCTGTTTTCTCTGATGCTCTCTCCACCCTTGGCTGTGGTGTAATTAGAGAGTTGCAAGTCCGTTGCTGAACCCCTGTTTAAAAGTCTTCATTTGTGGAGGGTTAGAGAGCCGTCGTATCTTTACACCCCAACACACGCCCACCTCAGACCCTAACACACACACACACACACACACACACACACACACACACATACTGCATGACATCCAGCTGCTGCCAGATGTGTGGCATATCCTCTTCTTTCAGAGGAGTCTTGTGATTAAGCCTGTTTGTCTCTCTTTGTGCTCCTTTATGAAACAGACGGGTAAATGTATCTTTATTGCAGGATGAAGTTTCTGCATTAATGCACGATGGTCTCCTTGAAACTTGAGATATAGATCTATTTTTTTTTCTTTATCTGTCTCTGCTTCCTGTCCTGTGATATTTAACTTTGATGGGAAGCTGCTGAAAGCATTTACTCAATTTATTCATTTTACTTAAGTATGTTTAGTCTATTCTACTTTGTTTCTTTTAATATTCTACATTTCAAAGGGAAAAAGCACTTTTTACTACAGTATTTAGGAGCTACATACTAGTTGGAATTTATATTGAAACACATAATCAATATGTGAAATATGATGTATTGCTTTGGATCAAACCACGTAACATTGTATGAAGGGTCCTTGTTTGTTTTCTTGATGAATGTGTGAAAGAACAGTTCCTCCATTTTACAAAAGAATAAAACCAAACAAAGTAATTTGTTCATCCAGCAACAACTATAACAAACGGCTCAGTCATACTACTACAGATTAATGCTGTATATACCCTGAGAAGACTTCTCTGCACTCCGAACACTTTAAATAGTTGAAGCTCTTCCAGTGAGAGTGGCACAGCTATTCAGATCTTTTATTTTAGTAAAAGCAGTGTTACATTATGTGCAACCCTAAATTTCTATAATATCAAGGATTAATTAAATAAAAGTCCTGCATTCAAATTTTTACTCAAGTAAAAGTACAGCAGCATTGACAACAAACTCTTGTGCCATTATGCACAATGCGTTAACATATCACCCTATAATAGCAGGTTTAAGCGAAGTTATGAGTATTTTAAGTACTCTGGAGGTTATGTAACACTATTAATTGCAGTTTGGGTCATAGATGGAAAGTAACTGAGTAAATTTACTCAAGTAAATCTCGAAGTGCTCTTACTTCAAATACAAGCTGATCTATTTAAAGCAGCTACATTTCAGACTGTAATATTGTACTTTTACTTTCACACAGCTACAATTTTAAATATTTTTGATAAAGCTTCAAAGTAAGAAATTCAATTATTATTATGGAATGTGGGCTGCAAGGTGGTGCAGTTGGTTAGCACTGTTGCCTCACAGCAAGAAGGTAGCCGGTTCGTGTCCCGGTGGGGGCACCGGGATCTTTCTGCGTGGAGTTTGCATGTTCTCCCCGTGCAGCGTGGGTTCTCTCTGGGTTCTCCAGCTTCCTCCCACAAGGTCCAAAAAACATGTTGAGGTTAATTGGTGATTCTAAATTGTCTATAGGTGTGAATGTGAGAATGTTTGGTTGTCTGTCTCTAAGCGTAGCCCTGTGATAGACTGGCGATTTAGATGCCAATACATTTGTTTGTTTACTGAAGTGAAACTGAACTCTAAATTGGGGTAGATTCATTCAGATTTTTAGAATCATACTTTATAGATTGATTTGGGGATATCATTAGCTGAAATTGTTCTAAAATAAAAAGTAGTTATAGTTGAGTCAATAGTAAAATATTTTCCATATGAAACACAGTGGATCAGAACTCTACAGAAACATAACACGTAAATATTTAAGTTGGGTTTCTCAAAATTCATGTACATTTCTTTAGTAAAAGTACTTTAAACCACTGGAGACTTCTAATATGACTGAATATTAGCTGTCTAATCCACTATATTTTAGAAAATAACCTGCTTTCTCTCCATTTAAAGCTGAAAGAAGACACTGTCACTAAATCTTGTTTAAAAAGATCAGCAATTTTTAACTAAAGCACTCCTCTGTGTCGTGTTTCTTTGAGCCTGAGTACTAATCTATCTGTTTTTATAGTAAGGAAAGGATTTGTAAGCTTTACTCCCCAGGAAGGACGGGAACTAAGGAGGCAGGATATAAAATTTAACGATTTTTTCTTCATTGACTGGTATCCAGATGTTATTCCAGCTCTTTCAGTCTGTTTTTATGCTGTGGCTGAGGTGAGGTCAGAGTTGGCAACCGATTCAGCCAGAGAGAAAGAGAAAAGTGAAAAAGTCAGGTGGAGAGTGAAGAGAAGGAAGGAGGCGTAAAGGCAGAAAGAAAAACAGACTCACAAACGGGGCTAAATAACAAAAACTGCTGCTTTTTAACATCTGCCTGTCTCCCCTGGCGGCCTCAGAGAGCGATTCAGCAGAGAGTTTGCTGTGGTGAAGAAGTCACACCACCATCAACAGCTGGCACACATTAACAACAGGCAATTTGTCACCTTCAGCTGAATTCGAGCCACAAACACACACATTTTCTCCCTCCCTGCTTGAACCTTTCCTTCCTTCTGCCTTTTAGAAACCACATGACGAGATGTGCGCTCATGGGTTCACTGTGGTTCTTTCTCCAACACTGTCTCTCTGTGGAGGAAAGCCAACATTGCACTTTACTGCACATCCAGAAGCTGACGTAACACCACAAATGCTCCATCTTAACACAACACAAAGCAAAGCGAGAGGCTGTCCTGTTTCGGACGCATCCTTGAACTGTTTAATGTTTTCGGGCCTGAACTGTGAACTGTCACGTAACCAAACTGAGCTCTTTTCATTTGTGCTCTTGTCCTCAGTGAGTCAGTGTCCAGGAACATTTTTGAGGAAGTGGTTTTTGCCAGAAACAGGAAACTCAATAGTTGCAGTTTATTCACTAAGACGAAGTGAGAAGTAGTGAAGAGACACACGGAACAATCTTGTCAGAGAAGACCATAAACACCCTCAACAAAGCCCCCAATCGCAACATGGACTCTCAGCAATTTCGGCATCTTTTCTTCATGTTTACTTGGATATTTGTACTTCCTCTCCCTCCTGTGTGTTCAGGAATGAACACACCAAGTAAGGAAATCAAATTATATCTTCTGACAGACATATTTGACTGAGACAATGCTCATTAACTTCCACAAAGCTGAAAAAGCTGAATCACGAGTGTAGTCCTTTGATGGTTTGCAGCCACATTTAACCCAGTGAGCGTTTCTTTGGCATCGTATTTAACTGAATGACTATGTTTATTACTAATCTTTTGCTTGGTTTTATGATTAATCGTTTCAACTATAAATGTCACAAAACAGTGGCTGACGTCAGCACACGTTTGGTATTTTTGCCTAATGATGACTTTAACAATTTATAAACTACCAAAAATGCAGCAGATTTATGTCATTCCAGCTCTAATATTAATCTCCATGATGTGTTCTTACAGAAATGCAGTTGGAGAACACAGTATTTGTGGCCTTTTCAGGTGAAAATCTTAGTATTAGCTGTGAGTTGAAGAAACCAGCAAACCAAACTAGAGCCATGCTGAAGTGCTTCGGTCCCCACAGACTGATATACCAACATGACATCAGTGCGACGGCTGGTGAACCACGTACAGACCCACTGCAACTGGTGCTGAAAAACCTGACCGATTCAGGAGAATACCATTGCCAGTATGAGACAGCAAAAGTGTACTTTTATCTACGTGTGAGGGGTGAGTACAAAAAAGAGGAAACAAGAATAAAAGATGAAACTGAAAAGGATGCCAGGGCAGTTGTTCGGCAGAAACGTATAGTGACCAAAAAAGAGCTGCCTTGTTATACATGGACAGGTGACAAATTAAAGGAAAAGAAACTGATGTGAGAAGGTCAGACAGGTCTGTTCAGCTGTTGAGGGCTTTTTTGCTGGTGTGATTTGAGTCAATTTGTCCCTTTAGAGGGAAGAGTCACTGCAAATCAATAAAACATTGTTGCGAGAGGACTTTTATCCTTTGCTGAAACATTTCTATCCTGATGGGAGTGATGACAATGCACCAGGGGACACTGAATGGTTTGATGAAAATGATGTCAATCATGTGCTATGAACTTTGCAGTCACCAAATCACAACGGAACTGAGCACCTATGGGAGACTTTGGACCAACATCTTAGACAACACTTGCCATCACCATCATCATCAAAACACCAAATGAGGGAATATCTGTTTTAAGTATGGTGCTCCATCCCGAGATTAGAGTTCAGAGACTTGGAGAATCAATTCCAATAAACATGAAGCTGCTCTGGTAACATGTGGTGGCACAACACCTGATTAAGTCACTTTTTGGTTTTTCCGTTAAGCTGCCATCCATCTGTTTGTGAAACAGATTAATTGCAGCTTTTTGGTTCTTTTGTTGCTTCAGATTCTTAAAATGAAAGTGATAACAAGGCAGGCCAAGGTTTGGACAGAAATCAGCATTCATTTACGAGAACGTACATAGAGAAATAATTGTGCTAGAAAAAATGGGAGCTTTAACCATAAGTTCACTCACTTTCTCACAATAGACAGGTGACCAGAAATAGTGAATGCTGGTTTTAACGGGATGGATGATTTCTCAGTGTTGCAGAAACTATATCAGTGTGATGACTATCTGACAGGCAGTGTGGTTGAAACATAGTGATATCTTTAGCTGCAGATGTGGATTAATGTCTGAAGATTATTATTGTAAATTATGGGATACATCTTTTGTACGACCCTTTAACTTTTACAGTATAAAAAAAATTACTTAAACTTTAAATTTAAAATTTCACATCTATTTGACATGTAATAGTGTCTACCGACTTGCAGCACTTCCTTTTTTTAATCTACTTGTAAGTGTTCACACTAAAACACCAAGTCATTTTCCTCATATGTGAAAACCTGCTGGCAATATAACTGATTCTGATTCTGACAAGAATCAAAGTGCTAAGCTTTGCACAAAGTCACATGAATAGTTGCTGAAAGTTGTAAGTTGATAATTTATATAATCTATGATACCAATTCAGTATTTTATAGTTGGTGAACACTGGTAAGCTCCCCTATGATCTTGAATAAAAGGTATTCTTCATTTTATGGAAAAGCTAAAAGAATAATTTTGTGTGACAGAAATATAGACTTCTTTCTTTCTTATCTTTATAGTAGTTTTGTGACCCCCTCAGATTGATGTTGGGTCCCTTCAGAAGGTCCTGACCTCCAGATTGAGAATCCCTGTACATGGTAAAGTTTTGTCAAAACAGGTGCAAAAAAAAACAACAGCAAAAAAAAACATTGATCTGAAATATTTTTCTCCCCCCAATTGGCTGCTTGACAGATGACGAATTTATCAGTGAACCTTGCTTTGCGATGCGTATCAGACTGACATTGATTAAACTGTGTGTATTTTCCAGGTGAAGGCTACAAGGAAGCCCGAATGTCCAGCTACACTGAACTCATCACGGTGGCCTCCTTCACTGGTGTGCTGCTGATCTTCAGTGTGATCGGCTCAGTTCATGTCTTCAGAGGATATTGGGTAAGAGGTTCCCTGCTGGTAACCTGGCAGGAGTTGAGAAACGGTGTGTTGCGTTGTACAAGTTTTGTTTTAGTGCTTGAAGTGTGTGTTGTTGGAGAAGTGATGCTGACAGTCAGTGTTGCACACGAGTTTCTGGAGCTTCCGATGAAGTTGAGTCTCTTGAGAAGTAGAGCCTCTTTTCAAAGTTCAAGTAAGAGTCCAAAAGATTTGTTTACAAATTGTCAACTATCTGATAACTGATTAATCATCTGTTTTTCTGCTTCCAAGTTCTTAAGATTTACTGTTTACTTGCTCCATGTGATATTACATTTAATATCTTGGACTTTTGGACCACTGGTTTGGTATTTAAGAAAATGGGTGATGACATAAAATGTATAATAGGCACTAAACTGAAGTCAAAACATTAATGTCCAGAAAAAATCTAAGATAAATTATAAATATATTTTGGTTTAAGTTTGACTTTTCTGTGTTTTCCAATGTTGAAAATGTTCTCTATTGGAGACAGATTTGCTGCAAAGCCAACACATTAGACATCTTCCCAATATCTTACATTTATCAAGCTTCTTCTTCTGTTATTTGCAACCACAGACACTTACCTGCTCTCTGTGAATAAGAAACAAGTTTTCTACCAATATCTTCTCTGCCTGGATTTTGTCCTTACAACAGCACAGAGACGATGCTCACTGAGTTATTATTAATGTAAACACTGATACAAGCCAAATTTCAGTCCTGGTCCTTTTGGATCTTAGTGCTGCCTTTTAAACAGTTGACGGTACAAAACAAAATGGAAATCAGAAATCCTCCTCTACAAGGCAGTACACACTCACTGTTACATCATCCTGTCTGTGACTGTGCTGTTTTTTATTGCTAGACTTGGGCCAATACTGTTTTCCATCCAGATTATTACAAACAATGGAATAAATTCCAGCACTATAGTAATAAACTCTGAGTCCAGTCACAAGACACAAAGCTAGAGAAAAAACTGGTACAAAGTAAAACTGCATCACAAGAAAATCCTTAACTGTTTCAGTTTGGTACGTGTATTATCCAGTTTGTTGCCAAGTTGTCACTGACTTTTCTATGGATGAATTTATTTCTCATTTTTAGAAAGAGAGGATCACTGAAGGTGGAGACAAGGCGAAAACTGGCAGAAAACAGAAGGAGAACAGAGAAGAGAGGAAAAAGGAAGATATGGATGAAGATAATGTGGATGTCATGGCAGCTCAGTCTACGTCCTTCTATGCTGTAAGCACCTTTCTACTCATCAGTATGTAGAGAGACAAGTTTCAGTTGGATTAAATTTGACCAAATTCAGCCATTTCTGTCCCCTGCATTTCTGTCCTCATTTTGATATCTAGAGTCTAGAGGCTCGACCCAGGTCCATTTATGATGTTCTGGACCACTCAACTGCCAGCAGAGAGCCGGACCGAAAGAAAGCTAACCCTAAGAAAAAGAACCCCCAAAAACCAAAGGTCTGTAAACTTTGGGTGTCTTGTCACATCTGATGTTATTAGTAAAAACCGATGCAGCACAAAGCTAAAACATGTAACTGATGACCTGTCTTCCTCCACAGGTGGCACAAACCACAGAACAGCAGGATGAAGGCATGTTTGAGTGTGTTTATGAAAACTTCTGAATCATGTATACACTTGTTTCCATAGGATAGGATATTTATATCAGTAGCAGTGATAAGCATCCGTTGTTTTGCTATTTTAATGTCAAATATAACAAACATCCTCAGATACAAGTAAAGTTCTTGCATTTGAAATGTGTAAATAACAAATGTACAAATGTATTACCAGCCAAATGTGCTTGAAGTGTAGAAGTAACATTTCTCCAGCATTTTAATGTTGTATCTAATTGAGGTGTAATTATTTTACACATTGTTGGGGGGTTTATGTATTGTATGTTTGTATATGCTCACAGCAGATTTTGAAAAACTGAATCTGCAAAGTAATCACTACCTACATCTGCCAATTAAATGTAGAAGAGTAAAATATATAAAATGAGTATTTTTCTCTTGAATGTATGCTATAACCTAAGTCGAGTTCTCATGTCTCCAAATTGTATTTAGTACATGTAAATATCCTCTATAGCAATTTCTGTTTTGCTTTAAAATATCTACATATTGATTATTAATTCAATATGTATGCAAGAAGTATGCATAAGCGAGCAACTTTAGAAGGAAATTTAACCACAGCAAAGTACAACTTTGCTATTACAAAAGTTAAAATAAAATCCTGAAAAGTGGCATTTTCAAGTGATACGAATATTACCAATACTTTTAGAATTTGTTGGCCTGGGACAATATTTCTACCCTTATTGCCATTGCTATTTAAATCTTCCTACAGAAGTCCCACTCCTGTATTTTCACCTACGACAAAATAGTATTTGGTTTTGGTTCAAACTAATAGATAATGCTCCAGATAACTGTCAAGTCAAGCCAAGTCAAAGGAAAGCAATTTCTGTTACATTTCATCTGCATGAAAAGTGCTATATAAATAAAGTGTGATTGATTAAGTGATTGATGTTGAAAGCTTTTGATTTCTTCACATCAGTAAAATTATTTCAGTGCTATTCAAAGGTTAGCAAGGTCATGATCACCCAGAAAAAGGCCTGAAATTAAAATAGCTATATCTAGTGGTCAGGTTTTTAAAAAAAAAAATTAAAAAAGCGTTCAGATTTAATTTCTGCTTCTTTTTTCTTTTTTTTGCAACACCTCCTTATTTGTAGATTTCCGTTACGATACGCCCCTTTGCCTACGATAGCCAATGAAATTGTGAGGCATGAACTCTACAAGCCAATGGCAACGCTGCTGTCAGCTGGACTTCCTGGCTTGGTTTGTATTTCTATATTGATCATGGCTGCTGAGGGCGATTTCCTGGCGAGATACCGAGCTGTGTCAAATAAACTGAAAAAGTAAGGTTTTGAGTGACATTAGCTTACAAGAAATGTAGACGAACGTCAAAATGAGCGTAACGTTACTTGACTTAAATGCTGCGGATACGACACACAGCTAGCGCTAGTAGGCTAAGCTAGCTTTACCCGTTAGCCTGTTAGTGTCGTTCCTGTCAGTGTCATATGTATCTTACCTTTGTTTGCATGTCCTGCACTGGCTAATGACGATATTATGTTCGTGGTTTTTAATTGTTTAGTCCAGGTTGTTCAAAACTAACTAGTAAGTCAACAGCTAACCTTAATTAGCTGTTAGCTAGCTACAGCCGCTAATACCAGCAAAACTTGCATTCATTCTTATGTTTAACATCTTCATAGTTATCTGAAATTATGACAGCGTACTAACTATCGAAATGCTGTGTTTTAGCACATTGAGATTCTTGTGTTTCCTTGTTGCAGACGTTTTCTCCGGAAGCCCAATGTAGCTGAGGCAAGTGAGCAATTTGGTGAGTGTCAGCCAGTCAGCCTGCAGAGCCTTTAAAATCTAACACCCTACTGTCAACATTAGCGCTTCTCTTTTATTGTTGAAAGTCAGGAATACACTACAAAGTACATGACACTACTGTTAAAAACATTTTTTCCTTTTATTTTACAGTTTATGTCCGTATTTTTTAAATACAAGATATCAACGCAATTAAACAAGCCGACTGAATTTACATGACTAATGTATAACATGGAAGACATGTAACTGAGTCACCATTCAGAAAATAGGTTTTTCATGTAAAAAGACCGTTGAGATACATTTGCAAATTCATCACAATTTCACCAATATTTCAATTAGTAAATAATTACAGTTAGCAGAATAAAAAGTATTGTTCCTGTTTCACATAAATGAGAGCTATCTTGTATAACTGCAACAAAAATGTGTAAAGAAAGCGTTTTCATCACTGTTACTTAGAAGAAACCTATCTATGTATAGTTTCATTGATTTACTCAGCAAATTTCCTTTATTAAACTGCCAAAACAATACACATGATCTCGTGCAAAATTAGGCACTGAAAATTTAATTTCACTGTGTATATATTTTCATGAGATGGTTAATTTCTGTTCGACTATGTGTTATCAGACTGTTTCTTCACATTTAGCTCACATTCATCGCTCTGCGTTCACCTGTGCTTTCAGGTCAGTTGGCCAAGGAGCTGAAGCAGCAGGACTGCCTTCAGTATGCGGCCTTCTGTAACCTGGCTATGGCTCGGTAAGTGGACGCTAGTTAAAGTATATGGCAACCTTAATCTATGCATTTTTATGGTTTGTGTTCTTGATCTGTGATTGTTTTATTTTTTTAGGTCAGTCCCCTTAGTTCCATTTAAGTTTTTTTTGTTTGTTTTTTTACACTGCTGCATACTGTAGAGCAATATTTTTCACTGCCTCCACTGACTTTGTGGCAAAAGTTTGATGTCATGGCTTGGTGGTTTGCACAGAGGTCAGTGAAGTAATGGTTTTCCCATTTTGGTGTTAAAGAACTTAAATCCAGTATCAATGCCTGACTTCACTGATGCTTTTGTAGCTGACTGGGGGCAAAGTGAAAAGAAATTGATTTTTTTTTTCTATTATATGTACTGTATGAAATTTCTCAGACATGACTGATCAGATTTTGACAAAAGTAAAAACTGTATCACAATGCCCCTGCAATATTCAGAATTGCAGCAGTTGGCTCAATAATGTTCAACATGGTCTTTACATTCAGCTCGTAATTTTTTTTATTCGCCATATATCATGTACATTATATGCTATCATGTTTGTAGTAAAGTTTGGAAAGTACAAAATACTGATTGGTATCAGCAGAAAGCTACATCGTCATGTTTAGGATGTCATAACCAATCAATTAGAAGATTTCATAAAGCTACAGTCCTTTATGAAAGTCCATGGAGTGTTGACTCATCCCCGACGGTCAGAGGTGGCTCTAATTGGCCCAGAGGGAGGAGGGAGACTGTAACACACAAAGTGATGACAGTGGTGTATCTGTTGTTGTTATACATCTCCAATGTCTTGCCTGCAGGTGTGAGCAGACTCTCTTTAATGCTCCTGGAGAGGCCCTGGCATTAACCGATGCTGCCCGCCTCTTTCTCACATCTGAGAAGGAGAACAGAGCCCTGCAGGCCCCGGGCTTTGATGAACACCTTCAGGCTGCACTAAACTGCTACAGTTTTGCCATCAAGGTAAATGATGATCCATAGTTTTTGGTTTTTGATTTGTAGGATATGACATGACAATTTTGCTCTGAAACTTCTGGGAAATGAGCATGGTACAACATTCATTGTGGGGTTTCTGAACAGTCTTCAAGTCTGGAGAGTAAATTATGGACTACATTCCTGTAATGTGACTGAATGCTGATGTTGCAATGAATTACAGGTGTACATTGAGATGAACCAGCCTGTGATGGCAGCCAGCCTGTGTTTGGAACTTGGCAACGCGCTCAAGGTAAAACTTTGGATCAGAGCTTCAAGCTGTCCCATGAGATAAATTATCTTGGTTTTTGATTTTAGTGTATTTGATTTCCAAATGACCTGTGAAATTCAATTCTCCTGTCTGTTTCAACAGGAGATGAACAGACCAGGAGAAGCTATTGTTCATTATCAGAGGGCTGCAGAGTTACAGACACAGACGCCAATTGAAGCTCTGCTCTCAATGGGAGAAATGGCCACGTGTAAAATTCTTACCCGTGAGTTCAGTCTGTCCATGTCCATCTGATTATGTAGCTGCAGCATGTTTTATGTGCATATATGGTTTGACTTGGTTTTCTGTTGTTTGAGTTTGCTTAATTCTTGTTTGTCTGCAGGTGACTATGATGGTGCTTTGTCAGTGTTCACAGAGATGCAGCTGGTGTGCCAGGAGAGAGGACTGCAGCTTCCCGGCACCACCAACCCTGTTGGTGAGGCTTTTATCTGCAGAAAAATCTCATGAAAGCGCAACGTGTTAATTGTAAAGCAATTTAAAAAATTAAGGCTGCATCCTATACCTCGAAAACAAGAACACTGGCTAAAGACTATTTTTCATACTTCAGAGGAGAACTACGATCCTTGAATAAATTTAAGGACATGATTCCAGGATCATTGTCTCACTTTCCATTTTAATATTGCTGCATTTTATTTGGATATTCTGACTGGAAGACAACATGGAAAAATGAACTATCTTAATTCCTTGTGTTTATCTGAATTTTCTTGGAAAAAGGTGCTTTTCTGGACATTGTGGCAAAATGTGAGATATCCAGAGTGCTACTGCTGATGTTGCTTGAGGTAAGAATGTCAATTTTATGTGTAAAGATAATATATTGTAAGAAGAAACATCTGTATCAGTTTAGTGAAGTGGAAAAATCACAGTTTTGAAACCAGTTCTGTATCAGTTCACTTCATTTATGTACAGATGTACTTTAACAGGGTTTCATAGGTAGCTGTGATGAAACACTGTGTAGTGTGTGCAAGTATTTTTACAACAGATACACTGCAAAATGAACAGTTGCCAATACTTGAGTGTCAAACAGTCATCGTCTGGCCAAGCAGGGAACTGTCAGAAAGCAGAACAGTTAAGTTTTAGGCATTAAAAGAAGGAAACGCCTCCACATAAGCAACAGAACAATATTGTATCACAGTATTGATTATGTATCCCACATCTTTACTGTACTTTCTGTATGTCTTGGAAAAAGTTTGAATTGTTGGTTGCAGCAGCACTTTAATGGTCCTACCTTGGTGTTTTTCTGAGCAGCCTCCACCTCAGAAGTTGTTACCAGAACATGGCCAGACCCTGGAGAGATATGCATGGGAGTCTTTTGATCCTCACAGCCAAGGTAAAAGCTCTCCAGTATTGAACTTTTTTAGTGCCAAAGATATGAATTATATATGTTCTTTTCAGAAAATGTATCATGAATCCTGTGAGTGACTCTTATTTGAAGTACATGGATTTTTTCCTCTTCTTCAGTGACCTTCTTGCCTGAGAATGTTTTCCTGCTCCTGCAGTCAGTAGTGGTGAGTTTTATCACCCGCATACTTGGTTCAGTTTGCAGGATTTCCTGATCCTTCCTGCATTATACATGCAAAAATGATGATTTTTATGGCCTTCACGTGGCAGTGATTAATGTGCTGTAGTTTGTCTTCCTTTGGCAGTGAAATTAGTCTTTTCTAGTTGCAGCATTTGCCATGGTGTCAATGTATTTTACTTTGCTGTGTATCTTCCCCTGTGACACAACCGATATTTAGTTTTTGATTTATGTTTACTTATGATTTAAATACCTCTAATCAGAAAAAGATCATGTAGAGAGAGTCATTCTCGATGAGCAGGCTCTATCCTTTTAAATTAAAATAAGACTGAGACCTTAACAAGGTCATTTGAATCTGCAGTTATGTTTTTATTAGTGTAGTGTATAACAGCAAATCTGTTTTGCAGATGGCGTGTCAAGAGAAAGACACAGAGTCTCTTAAGTCTCTCCAGACTGAGCTATGGTGAGCATTCAGAAATGCTAATTTCCATCATGTGACTGGGTTGACAAATGGTTTTACTGTTTCTTACTCCTGTTTTTCCATATTGATCATGTATTTGCATGTTTTTTCCCTTCAAGGCCGTTTCTGACTGCTGAGCAGAATCATCTTCTCCACCTGGTGGTGCAGGAGCGTATCACACCGTCTGGTCAAGGCATTTAGCGCAGTCCAGTTTTTACTCACTTCCTCTGGGAACGATACTTTATATAATGGAACATTCCTGTTTCTGACTGGGTCTGTTGTAAGGCCTGAAGAAGGGTTGTTTTCAAAACTTCAGTGTTGTAACTTTGACTCAGAGAAATGCACACAATACTTTATCCCTACTGAGTCACGCAGATTTGGAAATTAGTGAAAATTGCCAGGATTCTAATGAAAGACTAAAATTCAGTGTGCTCCTGTTTGAGTGAATGCTACAAAATTGAATCACTTCATATATATTTATTATGTAAAAGTGACTGTTTTGGATCTTGTAGAATGTATTCTTTTTATAGCTGTTTAATAGATAAAACATGAATGCTTTGTGTTATAATTTGTTTTATTCATAAATGACATGGCTTAAATTCCAATGCAAATAACAAACACAACCTTCTATTGCATAGTTCTGTATTATGGTGAAATGAAACACCATTGTCCTCCATCCCTGGTTCACTTTATGTTCACTTGTACAAATGCATGTACTTTTCTTATGATAGCAGCTGACTACAGACACAAAATTAAACAAGGTTAAAAAAAAGACACTCAATACAAAATGCTACAAAAATATAATGGTTACAATGTACATAGATTCAAAAAAGGATACATTATACTTCAGTCGTAGAATGATACATGATTAAAACTACTTGTACTGTAAATTAAGGCTTGTTTTTCCTGATTGTTCAAGTACTACAACAGGAATGTTGTAGTTTTCCCAAAATGCCGTACCTTCTCGGATACAGTATTTTTTTTTCACTCCTCAGCTCTGGAAAACTGCAGTAGTCGCTCTCAGCCTCATAACATGATTATAACAGATACACTTTAGAGTATTTTTAACTACAGTATGACACAAGGGCTTTTTTTTGAGGGAATTACCCTTCTCACTTTAACTTTGGTAGATTCTTGAAAGAATAGTTAACATTTGGGAATGCGCTTTCTCACTTTCTTGCTGCGTGGCTAATGAGAATCACTCTTATGTCTGTATCCTTAATGTCACAATATAGCCAGCAGCCAGTTAACTCAGTATTGAGACTGGAAATGCAAAAAGAGCTTGTCTGGCGGTCTCTACAGGTAACAAAACCCATCTACCAGCACCAGTTTCTCATTTGTTTGCACCCAGTCTAGAAATATTCCTGCACAACTGCATTGCAAAACCATAACTTTTTATTTTTACAATAAATGTTTGTATGATTCAAATAAATGAGTCATAAGGCACTACTTGGTGAGCGTTCAAGTGAGGTTTAGCAAACCAGCAACTGGTTGTAGCTTTATATTTTACAGATCGACATGAAACTGGTGTCATCTTTCAGCAAAAAAGTAAGAACAAGGATAAGAATATTCCTCAATATGTTAAATTGTTCCCTTTAAAGCACTTATAGGTGCAGACTGAGTTCTCCAGATCTACATGTAGCTACCATTTAAAAGACAATAGAAATGACTGATTTATTAGCTCTTTTGTGGTTGAACTGCTATGAAGTTGGCACTTTTGAGTTCCTTATTAGTTTGCGCCCTGTGTGGAAAATTTAAATCAGTGGGGAAAAAATGGTCAATGTCAGCCTTTTGTGTAATGTTAGCATGTGATCCATTTCAATTTATAATATTCAAATGTAAACAAATGGCTCATTAGCATTTGAACGTTTTCCCATGTTCCGAGCTGCAGATGGTGTACAGCAATGTTGTTTTTGTTTTTTAAATTTTTTGACATAAATCCTACGCGTTAATTTCCCATATTCAGGAGGAACATGAGCCCTGCCGTCATTCTTTTTATGCTCTCACTCGCTCTTTTTCCGCAGGACGAGGTAGGTGATTGCTAGGAGGATGGTGAGGACGAAAGAGATCCATGCCAGGACGTAGGAGTGGCCGTACCTTCCCTGTGTGTCACTGGTGTGAAGCTCAGCCGTGTAGATGGAGGCAGCTATCATTATACAGAGGCCTGCGGGAGAGAACATCGTTACATACACCTAAGACAAGGCAATTAAAAAGTAATTATTTTTCCTATTATAAGATAAGGCTCATGAACAAGGACGTTGCAGCAGACGGCTCCGCTGCAATCACAACAAAATGAGAAACATGACAGTTTCACCTTGTTCTGAAAAAAAAAAAACTCATGACAGCACATGTCAAAAACCTAGTACTTGCACTTTGTGTAAGTTTCTTATCCACTGGTAGCGCAGTCAGTGATAATCCATAAATAACCCAAAATATAATACTTGCAATTTACTAATAGTATGTCTATTAGTGAATTGCAAGTATTATGTTTAGCTTTTAGCTTTAGTGGCCTGAGAGTTAAGGTGCTTTGAACCACAATGTCCATTTCTTTCTAATTATCTCCCCACAACACACTTTAAAGTCGTCACTATAAAACTGGATAATGGCTTTAGTACTTTCTCAAGCAAACATTGGTTGATTCAGCTCAAATGTGGGAATTTGATGCTTTGTAGTGCATGATAGTAGACTACAAAAAACAAGACACCCAAAGATGTTGGCTTGGGCTTTGAAAAATCCACTATTTTCTGAAATATTATTGCAAAAAGGGGCAATTGATGATGAAAATAACCTTTACTTTTATCCCTACTTACATCAACAGAAGCAGCACGCCCTGAAAGGTTATCTGTAACATTATAAACTGGCTGAAGTGTGAAAATGTTCAGTTTGTAGCACTGATTTTGATTAAAACTCATCTAAAGTAAATAAAGAGACACCAACAGTTTCAGTAGCAGCAGTGACTTTCAGCCATGGGACTTTATGCTCATTAGTATGTCAAACCAGCTAATGCAGGTTTTCGTTAAACCTTCTTAAACCTGAATGCATGAAAATTCCCTGACCATCTGTATCAGGATTTGTTTTTAACACTTTTATGCAGACACATGCTGTGGCTGATCTGTATCAGATGTTTTTTGTTAGGGATCACAGTCACAATAAAACACCTAAACCTTTTCATTTCTTTCTTCACCTTCTCTGAGACAAAATTAATCAAATTTTTAGTTCACCACTTTAGAAGCTAAGACGGTTTGTGCTGTGTAGTATCAGATCAAATTATTTACAGTTGCATAGAAATAAAAGGCTAAATCCACTGAGGTTTCCTAGAGTTGTTGTCCTTAGTCAACCAAGCATTTAAAACAAATCCTCCTTAGAAAAGTACAGATCTCAGCTATAAGAAACAAGCATATAATCAATATTTCTCATAGCTGACATCTGACTCAAGGATACTTACAGGCGATTAGCTGTAAAATGCCAGTGAAGGTGAACCTCTGGCCTTTGGGCAGAGTGAACAGCTGAGCCACAAACACAAACAGGGCCAGGATGGTAAAAATACAGGCCAGCACTGAAGTGGCCTGCACCGTCTGGAGGTATTCTGCAGCAGGAACAACAGAAACAGGCACACAGTGAGTCATGGTTCAGCTGTAACACAAATACAGGGGAACACTCATCTTTTAGCCCTGTTTAGTTTTACATATGCACATTAGAACCACTATGTACTGATCTGTTAACACTGTTAACATTCACAAATCCATAACTAAATGGTGAAGACCATTTCCGTATCTTTTGTTTTACACGTCTGCATATATAATCTTCTGTCATATCAAGTCATTATGTTGAGTAGGTGGTGAAAAAAAGATCTTTTTCCTTTTTCTTTTTCTTTTTTTTTTTTTTTAAATCAATAGAGTTTACCTTCAGGGTAGTTTTTCAGGTTGGTGTAATGCCACACTGAGTTCGTCAACTCCCACCTGCCCCACAAGTCGGTTGACACGGAGTCAGTGATCCACCAGGCCTGAGGACACAGAGCAGAGGATGCACTGGTTACATGACAAGGCATGAAATAGTGAAAATTTTGCAGATTTTCTGTCAACACAACTTTTAAACTTGTCTGCCATCATCTCTTATCAGCTCTATCAGTACCCACTTACAACAGCTTTTTCCAATATTCTGTTGAGGTTTGTAGATTTGCAACATGGTGAGTGGCAAGAAGTTAAAAATAAAAACAAAAAAACAAAAACACATATTTTGACATTAAACTCCTGGGTATTTCCAGGTGGTTCATACACATGCCTGGCTTAGCTTCCAGGAGAGAAATTCATGCTGCTTGAGGTGCATTTGCTTTAAAACGGTGTGTAGGAGCCTTTGTTTGACATCCATGAAGTCACATTAAAAACCTTTTGTTCTTCCCCAGAGCACAGGCGTTTTTGCTAAATGGGAAAACAAAAGAAAAATAATATCCGCTTACATTATCAATGGTGGCCACCAGGAGCAGGATGATGGTCGTAATGTGCAGAGCGACGATTCCTGCCAGCATCAACATCGTGGCCTTCTGAAAACTGATAACGAGAGGGAAAAGGCGGAAGGATGCGCACCATTATTTATTCTCCACGCACATACTTATGTAACGCGGACTTGTAGATGAGGGCTCACAACCACACACACAGACAGGAGTCCCAAATAGACACGGTCTGAACCAGAAAGACAAGCATACAGAAAGAGGGGGGACGTTGCATGCAAGTCCAAACTCGCCCCAGACAGTCACATTTTTGAATAACGCACATCTGGTGTCAGGCACATCTCAGCTCCCTGCGTACAAGATCAATGGTTTAACTCCTCTGAGCATTTTACTGTCAAACTTTTTTTCTGTCATAGAAACTGCAGTAACCCATTAAACCTCACCCGTTTGCTTATCGGTTCATTTTTCATTGCTTTCAACTGTTTCCGTCGACAAGAAAGGCGCGTTTGTTTGGACGGTGGTTGGGCATTCCCAAACGGGTGCCGCTCCGTTACACGCACAGGCCCCGACTATAGTCAACAACTTTGAAAAGAGCGCGAGAATACAACGACAGAAAACAACAATAAGCACACCTTTACCTTTAATATCCACGCAGAAACACTACAGACTGCTCAACACTACGTTTTTCTGTAAAATGTGCAGTTGCGCGTCCTTTTAAAACTTGTTGCGCTCACAGTCACACTATAAATCTTCAACGCGCCTAAGTTCACTCATATGCTCTCTATAGATATATGAAGGGAAGAAAAAAAACAGAAATCATGCGCAGAGAACTTTACAGAGTTTGACTCGTAAGACAAAACTTTATAAAAATGTAAACAACATGGAGAAACGTTACCTGATAGCGCTTTAACGCACGGCGCGGGAGTTACTTGGGAATGTGAAACACTGTAGACCCACCCAGCTTTGAATTCAAAGCACACACATCACCCCTGTTTTCCCTCTCTATTCCCTCTCTTTGCTCTGACCAAGCCCCACCCATAAAGTTTTAGTTTTTTTTTTTCCTTCTTCACCCAGTGAAATGTCCAAACGGCTTCAGGTTCCTCCTCTCCTGCAACTCCAATGCATGCTTAAAAGACAAAATCTTCAACATAAGCTGCTTTTGATGTCATAATGTTTCTCCTCTTTATTTATTCCTCAAAACCGTTCTCTGCAGGCTCTTTTAAAAGTGATTTCCTTGAGTTGGCTAGCTCACCTAGGTGGTGGTGGATCTTCATCTTGAACAGGCCACAAAAGCTACATTTAGACAGTTTTTTCCCCCACATGGCTACAAAATATCATTTTGGACACACACATATCTTGCAGTGCAGCGAAAGTGTATCCTTTGCTTGCTTTCAGACCACTCTGGCAGACTTGCCGCTTCATTATGCACATAAAATGACTTCTCCAAAGATGGGACATTAAGAAGTGATGCAGGCATCAGTGCAGTGCATTCTGAGCCGCAGGCACCTCATCTTCTGTTCAACAGCAGATACATTCCAATGGTGACATTTTTTTATTTTTTTATTTTTTTTAGGCAAATGAGAAATGAAATGAAATCTTGACTCCAGTAGATGCTGGTGCAAGAGACCTACATTAAAAATCAATCCAAGCCAATAAAAAGCTTTGAACAGAATATTCACTGTGCATGTCAGTCAGTCTTCTGATACCAGACTCTATTGATTTTGCCATCATGGTAATAGTTTAACAGAGAAAACTGCAGGAACATGAGGGGATCTCCAGTATGGATTTCCAGTACATGATAGTCAAATTTATGCAACAGGACAGGGGTAGTTTGTTCAATGAGATATTTGAATATGACTTAAATATAGATGCAAGAGAAAATTAATATTGCTTAATGTCACCCAGTCCTGGATTCTCAGTGGGCTGGAATGTGTCACTGTTTGGGAAAAGCTGTTTACCCCATAAGCAACAAGCAAGCGTCTTTAGATTTACACACTCTACAGGCTGTTTTGGAGACATTGTTTTTCCTCTCAGTTTTAGTCTGAAACAAAGAGAAAAAAGGTGGTTTTATAAATTAGAGCCGAATGTGGACGTACTCTAATGTACTCTAAAGATGCTCTTTGGTAACAAAAGCCACACCATGCTTCTGCAGAGCATGTAATAAAACTTAGACATAATCAGGGTCCAACCCAGTTTATTGTTTTTTGCAGATGAGGGTCGTACTCCTCCAGGGCTCATATGACATACATAAAACACAATGGCTGCATAATGTACATCCATGGATGAAATTATGAATTAGACACCGAGAAGTGCAAGTCACACACACAGTGGTTTCATAAACAAATATTCAGTAAAACTTGTATATTCCGAATTTGTCATTCCAACCATACATATACTGTACAGCTTCACTGTTCCCTTTGCACTCAGCCAACCACATCCTTTTTCTTTTTAAGGCAGCTTGTATATAAAAATGTGACTCCAGAGATATGCATCTATATATATATACAGAGACATTCAGATCCTGGGTATTTTCAAGTGGTTTAATGAGACGTGCACTAGCCCGTGCTTCCATTGGAAAGGAAATTTATGCAATATACGCAGAATATTCCGATCTTTGAGGACTCATAAGTTGACTATAAAGCATCTAGCTTTCTCTCAGTCTTTGTTAAAAAGGAAAAAAAGGAAGTAGGAATGAACAGAAAAATAAATGTCAGTGATGAATATCAACGACAGCCACCAACAGTAGGAGCAAGCTGGGATGTAAAAAAAAATAAAAAAAATAAAAGTACCAATACCATAGTGTAAAAATACTCACATTAGCACGAAAATACAGTACCAAAAGTACCAAAAGTAAAAGTTCTTATAATGCAGGATGGCATATTTTAGAATAGATTTATGTTATTGAAATATAATTATGATGCATGACTGTGTTCATCACTTATGCTGAAGCTGCTGAAGGTGATTTAACTTCCTTGTTTAGTTTATCTACGGGGTGGCTGTGAAACTCCCTTCGGGGATCAATATCTATGATATGTCATATGATATAATTGTTTCTGTTTTGTATGATTGAACTAAATATGCAAAGTAACCAGTAACTAAAGTTATTAAATAAATGCTGAGGAGTAATACGTACAATGTTTCTCTCTGAAACCACCAATCTAATATGTAAAATTGCATGGTTTTTCAGGGTTTTTTTTTTTTTTTTTTTTAATAGCTTTTCTTTACTTTTATTAGAGACAGAAACATAACAAAGTAATGTTTGATCAACATTACATCTACTTTAAATACCACCTCTTAAATATGCATACATTTTATAATATAAAACTGTACTCAAGTACAATACTTAAGTAAATGAGCTTGTTTGTTTCCACCACTGGCAGTATGGTAACATCCTAGGCTGTTAAGTGAAAGACAAACTGTAATATTTTAACCACAGTCATATTTTAAATAGATATTGTCAGATAGCTATTAGAATGTCATCGAACAATACTGCGTTATTATTGGATTACTTGGCAGACAGTGCACATTTATTAAAGCCCTTCATCGCCTGTGTTGAATGAAGAAAAGCTAAAGTGATTATAGGTTTTCTCATTTCTGCAGAGAAGCTTTATTAAAGAACATCTATATCTGTATATATATATATATATATATATATATATATATATATATATATATATATAAAGTTTTTGGTTTTTTTCCCCTGGCAGGCCTCAGCTTGTTTCTACTTGTGCCTTATCTCCCCTCAGTCTGTAGTGTCTCAGTGAAGACCACATGGACTGAGGAAGTCCTGGTCCGACTACTACAATGGCTGCTTTATCCTGCTGGAGGTGGGATGAGGATAGATACTATAATTGCTTCCTTTGCTCTTTTACTTGCTCACTCCCTCATTTGTTGACAATTCAGATTCACTCAGTATGAGCAGCCTGACCTGGATACACACACACAGTTAACATGTCTCACGGTGTCGAAGGCAGAGAAGGTACACTATGTACAGCTCCCATGATTTAAGTCGAACAGGAAGAGGGATTTATTTTCCTGTGGTTTGGCATGAAGCTCCACTGAAGGCTCCTCTTTCCTTCATTGTTTCAAAAGCATCATCAATGGACTGAACAATCTTAACAGACCACAGAATCGAAGCGACTGTTTAAAAACCCAGATAGTCATTTAACAACACTGCTGTTTTAAAGCAGTTTCCAGAATCCTTGGAGTCTTCAACATATCATTTTCTAAAGCACAAGTAGTAATGCTATACAGTGAAATATTACAAGTAAAATAGATTCAATCAAAAATATTGAGTAAAAATATAGAAATTGGCACAATATCTTCAATTATTAAAATAAAACTAATTAATTCAGAAAAAGTCCACTGTGACTGACAGTTATAGATGATATTATCTTTGCAGATGCTTGAGGTGAAACTTTTACTAATTATTCCACGCAGAGCTATGACTAATTATTAATACTATTAATAGATTATTTTCACTGTGAATTCTTGGCACAACCTTAGAGTATAATGAAAAACAAACCAAAGTCAGGGCTGTTTTTATGCATAGGTTACCAATGAGGACTCTGCTGCATCTCCACCTGCACTGAACACCTGATAATGAGGGGAAACAACAGACAGACTTCAGAAAGACGCTCTGCTGGAAACAGACACTTATTGTCATGAAACCTGCTGGCTGCTGCTTCTGTTGTCCTGCAGTTGATGTGCTCATACAACTGTGTAAGAATTACTTAAGAGTAACCAGGCTGCTTCAAGACAAAACATTATGAAATGATTCACACTTGGATTAATCATGATCGGAAACACAGATAATTCTGCAGATGTGTCCTCAATTCGAGTCATGTAGTTTGTGAGTCAGTAGGTTTCCCAAGTCTGTAATGATAAACACTGAGGTTGCAAAGCAGCTAATCTAGGTATTTTGATTACTAAGTAAATTTTGAGCCATGAATTCAGATGTTTGCTCTTTTCAAAATCTCCCCTCTGGGCTCCATTAAAACACTGACCGTTTTGTGAGCAAGTGACCCTTTAAGCCAAAAAACACACAAAAATGGTTGTAAGTTTTGTTTTCAGTTGTCTTGTTGTTTTCGTGACACACCTCTAAAGTGCTGTTGGCCGAACTCATCAGCATTTTGTTAATGCTGAGGTTAATGAGTGTTGCAATCCTAAAGAGATCTACACTAATAACCTCTCTCTGAATACTGTATTACAGAAAATAATGTATAAAATAAAGAAAGCAAACAATGTTTTCTTAATGCTGAGCCTTTTACCTGGTCAAATAAAAAATTTTTATTATTTGTTTTTTTAATGAAGGCCTAAAATGTGCATTGTAAGATGTATAATGAAGCGAAAAAGTGTAAAAGAAGGTCAGGACAGCCAAAAGTAAAAAGTCTCATATTAACACCTGCTCCTCTTACAGAAATAGCAGAGATTGTTTTGTGGTGGCATCAAAGCCACCGATGAACAGTGTTCTGGATAATGTCACAACATTGTAATCGCACAGCAATATGAATAATCGGGTTATGTTTTACATCATACAATGAACATGACAAAATAAAAAACAGGATAATACACAACGGGTACTATTGTGCATGCATATACCAACTGAAAGATAATGTTTGTGGCATGAGAGGGTGAGTAGAAGTAGAATACAGATAAATAATAAAGTATTGCTGAAATCGTCATAAAATACTAGACTACTCACCTCGAATGCACCCCTTGAAAGCCATGTTTAGCGCAGCAGTCTCAACAGACACCTCCCCACCTCACTGCCCTGGTGCACCTCAGCATGTCACCTTGAGACTCTCACATTCCACTTTATTAATGCTTCACAACTCCCAGTAAATCTGGGCGACCCTGGTCAACCCATATATTGACTGGTCTATGGGTGTTATTTAGGGTGAAGTAAACATTGTCTTGTCTGCTGTTGCAAAAATGCCCCATCTGCCATCTACAGTTCTTCCTCTAAGTTCCAGATTTGTCTAGAGTGCCCCCAGA